TATATTGCTGCTGCCGACTTTTTGTAACGCAAAATAAATCCAGATGAGGAGGGTCAATGCTTCTAAGCGAGATATCTCGTGTATAGCAAGACAGGCCCATAACTCAACCATTACAGCATCTCCATGCCAAATTCGCGAGAAGAGAGCAACGAGAAGACTCTAAACTCGGCTTTCAAACTGGCAGCAGCGATCTCTGTCAGGTACAAATACGGAGGTGCAAGCCGAAATTTAACACGTCGCAAGGAAGAACCTGTTACTGCAAGTCACGGCGCCGATAACTTATCTCGCGACTACAGTAGAAATACCGTCATCCCATGGTCACGATTCGACCCCCAGCCACTAAATTGTGGGTCGGGACCCCGACAAACTGCCGTAGAACAGGCTCCTCAAATCCTCTTTCTGGGTACAGCATACCATACTGCTGGAGGACCAAAACCACCCGTACTTTAATACTTAGTGTTCTAGGCACAATTCAGAAGTTTCACTCTTCATCTGGTTCAAGACAGGATCCAGTGAACGTGTTCACAAGTTCTTCGAGTTCTATAAAGCGGGTGAGTAACTGTTAAGGAATTTGTAAGATTTGAAGTTTTCACGGCGGTGACTATGAAGAATGCCGTCTTCTGGGATGTGGCGCCGAGTACATCTTGTGTGATCATTATCAGTTTTCCTTAAAGGTACTTCACGGTAAAGTGGCCTTAAAATGGCACACTCTAGAAATGCAACGGCAGCCTCCTGTTTCAGAGGTGTCTGACGATCGAGTTCCAGCACAACGCGGACAAGCGTAGAGAAGTGTAGGCTACTCTACCGAAACACACACGCCTTCCAGGTGCATATCTCACTGGTCTTATGCTACAGAGCTAATTATGCTGCATATATTCTGCAGAAAGCAAGAAATCGTTGCATTTCCGTGTTACATGTCCTTAATACGAGTATTTTACAATGTTCAAAATGAAAGTTATAAATATTAATAACATGTGCATTTGATATCAAAGGTAAAAATTTTGTAGCGTTTGGAATTTTTAGACATAATTTACTACTTTCGAATTGGTTCCATCCAATGACGGGTTTTCCTGAGCCGATGGCTCTACTAATCGTTAGTACTAAATGTCATCGCCCGGTCACGGTAGCCGAGCGGTCTAAGGCATGTACTGTCTTCGCTCGCTTGGAAGCCGGGATCGTGGGTTCGAATCCGAAACACGGCATGGATGTTTGGTGTGTGTGTGTGTATGCGTTTATTCTGTGTCTGTGCTATCCTCTGTTTAGGCAGAGGCCTTGCGACGAGCTGATCACCCATCCAAGGAGTCCTACCGTCTGTAAAGTTATCATAGAACTGATAAATCAGCCCAATGCTCCAAGGTGCGAACGAGAGTAGAAAAAACTAAATGTTATCCGAAACCTATTAGCAGTTCGAAGCTACGTTCGTTTCAGGAACAGCGTGCAAATAAAATTACGAACGCAGGACACAATCCTAATACATCTTTGCCAACATATTTCACGAGCGGGGAAATGGGGAAAGAGGCCAGCTCACTGAAAGTCACATTTTACCGCCCCCGTCGCTAAGCTCTCGGCTTGACTGAAACTTCTGGACACAATACCCTAACAAGTAACTTAACAAGCACAACAGAACAATGACAGCCAAGAGACCCAAATTTTCTTAAACTGTTCCCCGGTTAATGAACTCTAACCAAAATCATCGTGCGAATGTCCGTTTAAGAACTCCGAGTTTTTTGCTACTAAGATCTTCGCGATACATCACTGCTATGACGTCAATCGACTGTTCGTTGGATATGCATAATAAGAGAAGCGTGAAACAGCTAAATGTGGTTCCACTCCGTCTAGTAGCCAGGCGCATATCACAACAGCTGACTAATCGCTAACTAAAACCAACTTTCCATATTTATTTATTGAGCCAACCTTGCAGAAAATGCTCACACTGCACTACGTGAAGACATCCGCCAATTCGCCTGTCTGTATAAATGTTTCGCTTCCGAAACTACTAAACTGATTTCCCATGTCATCACTCCCCACACACACACACACACACACACACACACTCGTAAGCTACATTCTTGTCCATGATTTATTTAATCCGTCTTGCAGTGCATACACTCATTTATCTCCTTCTCTCCCTCGCACTACATGTTTCGGC